ACTTTTCGTGTATCGCTGAAGTCCCGTTTGGCAATAGACGGCGGATTGATTGGCACTGAGACACTGCTAGCTAAGAGTCGTGTCCCCCTAGATCCATGGGAGCTGACCTGGGGTGATTAGTGAGTGTAAAGCTGTCATCGCCAAGGCAGCTTCGGATGGGAGCTGCTTAGCCCAGTTGAAGTGTTTGTACGTCTAATGTTCATTGTATATTAAAGATAATGGTTGTACTCAGCCGGAGTGTCGCCTTAAGTGTGTTTGGGTAGTAGAGTCTGTCAGCTGGGCTTCCTAGTGAGCCATATAAAATAAGTAGAGTAGATTAGGTCCCTGACACATCTACTCATCAACACACAGAGAGACATCTACTCATCAACACACAGAGAGACATCTACTCATCAACATCTACTCATCAACATCTACTCATCAACATCTACTCATCAACATCTACTCATCAATACACAGAGAGACATCTACTCATCAACACACAGAGACATCTACTCATCAACACACAGAGAGACATCTAGTCATCAACACACAGAGAGACATCTACTCATCAACACACAGAGACATCTACTCATCAACACACACACAAAAACAGTGTTAAATCCAACATACCTGGATCATAGGCATAAAATGATTCAACCACATGGTGCCGACTGACATCATTGTAGACAAAGAAGTGGATGTTGTTCCAGCCAGTGGACTTGAGCTGGATGTGGAGTTGATGGCTGAGATGCTCCACAAATGTCCCAGGCTGGCAGACGTGGCCAGGAGCAAGGCTGCTGTTGTCAGGGGTGATGATGACACAGACACTGGAGGGGGCGCTGCACACACACAAGTACACAAGGTCATTCTCTGGTCTTACATGAGATCATTCTCTGTAAGTACAGACTCAAACTTGGAATGAACTAAACACTCAGCCTTCAGTACATCAAGTAGTCTCCATGTGCCCTCTGTTTACAGTCAGAACATTCATTCATACAATAACATTGTGTCTGTTGGTACATAAGTAAAACCTTGAGAACAAAAACTCCTTTCAGAAAAACATTTGGCTAACATGAACAGCAGAGTCCTAGCAAGGATGAGTTATGTGTATTAGCGCCCAGTTGGCATGAAATCTTCTCTTCACACAACTGGATTTTCAGCCCCCTGTAATTTGTGTTAATGAGCTTTAACTGTACATTCAATTACATGTGATCATACTTGCTCTTCCTATCCCAAAAACCCAATGTGTAACATGTTGCTTAACAGACGGGTTTGTGCCTTGACCATCCCATATCCAGCACACAATCACAAGTGTGGTACTATGTCCAGCACACAATCACAAGTGTGGTACTATGTCCAGCACACAATCACAAGTGTGGTACTATGTCCAGCACACAACCACAAGTGTGGTACCATGTCCAGCACACAATCACAAGTGTGGTACCATGTCCAGCACACAATCACAAGTGTGGTACTATGTCCAGCACACAATCACAAGTGTGGTACCATGTACAGCACACAATCAAAAGTGTGGGACCATGTCCAGCACACAATCACAAGTGTGGTACCATGTCCAGCACACAATCACAAGTGTGGTACCAAGTGATGCCCAATAGTTAAACTATTTCCTAAAGCACAACTGTCAACAACCTATTATGGCAACCTAAATGGCCTCAGTGGTAATTTCAACAGTCATAGAAGGATCAATCAGTGACAGCAGTGCATAGACAAATGAACACAGGAATACATAGACACATGAACACATAGACACATGAACACATAGACACATGAACACATAGACACATGAACACATAGACACATGAACACATAGACACATGAACACCATGAACACATAGACACATGAACACACACACAGAGGCCTTAGTGCTGACTAGCAAGATACCACTAGTATCAGCAAACTGACTATAGATAACTTGTGTATCATCCATCACTGACTATAGATAACTTGTGTATCATCCATCACTGACTATAGATAACTTGTTTATCATCCATCACTGACTTTAGATAACTTGTGTATCATCCATCAATGACTATAGATAACTTGTGTATCATCCATCACTGACTTTAGATAACTTGTGTATCATCCATCACTGACTACATATAACGTGTGTATCATCCATCACTGACTATAGATAACATGTGTATCATCCATCACTGGCTATAGATAACTTGTGTATCATCCATCACTGACTATAGATAACTTGTGTATCATCCATTACTGACTATAGATAACTTGTGTATCATCCATCACTGACTATAGATAACTTGTGTATCATCCATCACTGACTGTAGATAACTTGTGTATCATCCATCTGCTTCATTCATTCCTCACTGCTGTGCCACAATTCTACACACTGAATATCAACCTAAAGTAATCGTAAAAAGAGTGATTGGCTTTCTATAGGCTAATATGTTTCTCTGTTAATGGAAGTTTTCTCATTTGTCTGGAGCTGCAGTCCAGTCTGTTCTTGTACAAATGATGATGTCACCAAGTTAGTTACATTTCACTCTGTCTGGAGCTGCAGTCCAGTCTGTTCTTGTACAAATGATGAAGTCACCAAGTTAGTTACATTTCACTCTGTCTGGAGCTGCAGTCCAGTCTGTTCTTGTACAAATGATGATGTCACCAAGTTAGTTACATTTCACTCTGTCTGGAGCTGCAGTCCAGTCTGTTTCACTGTACAAATGATGAAGTCACCAAGTTAGTTACATTTCACTCTGTATCTGGAGCTGCAGTCCAGTCTGTTCTTGTACATGATGATGTCACCAAGTTAGTTACATTTCACTCTGTCTGGAGCTGCAGTCCAGTCTGCTTCTTGTACAAATGATGATGTCACCAAGTTAGTTACATTTCACTCTGTCTGGAGCTGCAGTCCAGTCTGTTCTTGTACAAATGATGAAGTCACTCACCTAAGTTAGTTACATTTCACTCTGTCTGGAGCTGCAGTCCAGTCTGTTCTTGTACAAATGATGATGTCACCAAGTTAGTTACATTTCACTCTGTCTGGAGCTGCAGTCCAGTCTGTTCTTGTACAAATGATGATGTCACCAAGTTAGTTACATTTCACTCTGTCTGGAGCTGCAGTCCAGTCTGTTCTTGTACAAATGATGAAGTCACCAAGTTAGTTACATTTCACTCTGTCTGGAGCTGCAGTCCAGTCTGTTCTTGTACAAATGATGAAGTCACCCAAGTTAGTTACATTTCACTCTGTCTGGAGCTGCAGTCCAGTCTGTTCTTGTACAAATGATGAAGTCACCAAGTTAGTTACATTTCACTCTGTCTGGAGCTGCAGTCCAGTCTGTTCTTGTACAAATGATGAAGTCACCAAGTTAGTTACATTTCACTCTGTCTGGAGCTGCAGTCCAGTCTGTTCTTGTACAAATGATGAAGTCACCAAGTTAGTTACATTTCACTCTGTCTGGAGCCGCAGTCCAGTCTGTTCTTGTACAAATGATGAAGTCATCAAGTTAGTTACATTTCACTCTGTCTGGTCTACTCTACTGCCATTCACTCACACACATGGGCTGTAGGTCCATGACAGGAGCAGATCTACACTTAACTCACTTCTGTCATGGTAAGTGCATGTCTGAAACATGCTATGTCAACACACAGGCTGGAAACAACATCAACATATGTGTGTGTGTATACAGATGGCTGGCTATGTCAATTTAAACAAAAAACACATTTGCATACTGTGACATGTGTATGGTGATAGCATACTGTGACATGTGTATGGTGATAGCATACTGTGTCATGTGTATGGTGATAGCATACTGTGACATGTGTATAGTGATAGCATACTGTGACATGTGTATGGTGACAGCATACTGTGACATGTGTATGGTGATAGCATAATGTGACATGTGTATGGTGATAGCATACTGTGACATGTGTATGGTGATAGCATAATGTGACATATGTATGGTGATAGCATAATGTGACATGTGTATGGTGATAGACATAATGTGACATGTGTATTGTGATAGAATTATATGACATGTGTATTGTGATAACATAATGTGACATGTATATTGTGATAACATAATGTGACATGTGTATGGTGATAACATAATGTGACATGTGTATTGTGATAACATAATGTGACATGCGTATTGTGATAACACAATGTGACATGGGTATTGTGATAACATAATGTGACATGTGTATGGTGATAATATAATGTGACATGTGTATAGTTATAACATAATGTGATATGTATATGGCGATAACATAATGTGACATGTATATTGTGATAACATAATGTGACATGTATATTGTGATAACATAATGTGACATGTATATTGTGATAACATAATGTGACACATATATCATAACATAATGTGACATGTATATCATGATAACATAATGTGACATGTATTTTGTGATAACATAATGTGTATTGTGAGACACTAAGCAATAGTCATCAGTCTATCTGTACAAACAGGCAGATAGCCAGATAAGTGAGACATGCATCAGTCTATCTGTACAAACAGGCAAAAAGCCAGATAAGTGAGACATGCATCAATCTATCTGTACAAACAGGCAAATAGCCAGATAAGTGAGACATGCATCAATCTATCTGTACAAACAGGCAAATAGCTAGATAAGTGAGACATGCATCAATCTATCTGTACAAACAGGCAAATAGCCAGATAAGTGAGACATGCATCAGTCTGTCTATAGAGACAAGAAAATAGCCAGATAAGTGAGACATGCATCAGTCTGTCTATAGAGACAAGAAAATATCCAGATACGTGAGACATGCATACCTCCACACACATTAATCTGTCTGACAGACAAGGAAATAGCCAGACAAATGGGATATGCCTACCTGCCCAGGCAAGTGATGTTGACCAGGGCAGACTTCTTGATATTGATGCCCCGATCCTTGGGGTCGACATCAACTCGACTGACATGGCAGGACTGCACTGGATCTAAAACACAGACACACACAGACCCGTATTAATCACATAGATGTGAGAAATCACATATGCTCAACTATTTTAGTTACAGAGATATGGTTGGTTGGCCACACAGATGTGAGAAATCAAATATGCTCAACTATTTTAGTTACAGAGATATGGTTGGTTGGCCACATAGATATGAGAAATCCCATATGCTCAACTATTTTAGTTACAGAAATATGGTTGGTTGGCCACATAGATGTCATAAATCCCATATGATCAACTAATGACTGAGATATGGTTAGTTGGCCACATAGATGTGAGAAATCACATATGATCAACTATACTAATGACAAAGATATGGTTGGTTGGCCACACAGATGTGAGAAATCCCATATGCTCAACTATATTATTGACAGAGATATGGTTGGTTGGCCACACAGATGTGAGAAATCAAATATGCTCAACTATATTAATGACAGAGATATGGTTGGTTGGCCACAACTCTGATGAGAAAGAGCTAGCATCCACCACAGTGAGGTAAATTTTTCTCTCAAACTGGTTCAAAGTACTACTTCCACAGGGACTGCTGCAGAGCTCTTTCCACCCTTCCCCAAGCTGAGACCTGTGTGGGGACTGCCAGACTGGCAGTGGAACTTCACATCCTCGGAGAACGTTGTAGAACCCTCCCACCCTTTCTCAAGCAGAGACCTGTGTGGGGACTGCCAGACTGTAGACTGGCAGTGGAGCGTCACATCCTCGGGGAATGTTGTAGAACCCTCCCACCCTTTCTCAAGATCATGATCACAGACCCATGTGGGGACTGCCAGACTGGTAGTGGAACATCACATGCATGGAGACTGTTGCAGAGCAAACTCTAACACACTGCCCTGATGGAGTTAACAGACATAAACACAAGTGATGTTCACCCAATGTGACTAGGCAGATGAGTTAAATGAAACCGTATTTGAATACAGAGGATAAGTGGCACAAGCGTTCACCACCTGTCATGGCAGCGACTGCTGTGCTGACATGTTGCTGTTTTTGTGTGTGTGTCTGTGTGCAGTTTTCCTTAAAACAGTGGTGGCATACTGTTGTGGTTTGCAGCTAGGCTGTGATATATGTCCCTAAAGGGACACACCCAATTTCAGAAAACCCTGAATTAGCAGTCAAGCCTGGCACTGATACCTGGAGGTGAGTACATGCATGATGGCAGATATTCAGCAGTCAAGCCAGGCACTGATACCTGGAGGTGTGTGCATGCATGATGGCAATGAGCCTGAGCTGCTTGCCCACAGGGGAGGACACACGTAGGTACCCTACCCAGGCTGCTCTTTATCAGTTATGATTTGGGTTATCTTTACGACCCTCCGGACATATCCATAGGTGTTCAGATTTCCAGTGTGCTTTTCGTGTCTGGCTATGCCGATCTTAACTCCCAATTCTTGCATTTTTAGCAAAAATGTGGATGTGCTGCTCCCAAAATTCTTTATGACGTTAACAATGTCGGCATGATCCATGAGCCGTCCTACTGTAACTATAGCAGAGCCGGCTAATCTGTCGGCTCTTTCATTGCCAAAAACACATGCATGCCCTGGGACAAAGGGGGAGGTAACCACGCACAGTGGAGTTTTGCAATGACTGGATCCACTGTCTGCGGACATAGCTGGCCTCGACCCGCTTGATCATGCTCATAGAATCACTTAGCTCACACATGTGAGAATATCCCTCTGATGCTAGCCACATGAAAGTTCGTGTCACCGCCACCACAATGAAGTCGTACAACGAACAGATCTGTGTAGATCAGTACATCCGCCTCATTTAAATTTTCATATACAAGAGAGTGGACCTTTGCATTCACAGCAATTGGATTCTGCTTTCGACAGATCCTATCAAGCGTGAAAACACAGGAAAAGGTGCAGTTAAGCACCTGGGGCACAGGTATCCATTCTTTGCCCAGGCTAATGTCTGTAAAACTGCAGACCTGTAGGATATCGTTCTCTGCCCTATCAAGCCATGATGTGCCCCTTTTTCCTCAAGAGAACATTGTGCAGAGGGTTCTTCAAATCTGAGCCTGTCTTCAGGTATGCATGAGTCCTCCAGATCTTCATCCTCTGGTGCCTTGTTGGAAAGTCAAAAAGATATCTCATTGCTATGCAAGAGGTGTCTCTTGTGTAGCCCAGAATAATGCTCATGGTTTCATTTTGCACCTTTTCCAATCTATCAATCTGAGTATTCAACATTTATTTATCCTTGATCCATCCATGACACATTAGACATTTGTTTATCCTTGATCCACCCACGACACATTAAAAATTTATTTATCCTTGATCCATCTATGACACATTATACATTTATTTATCCTTGATCCATCTATGACACATTATACATTTATTTATCCTTGATCCACCCACGACACATTAAACATTTATTTATCCTTGATCCATCCATGACACATTATACATTTATTTATCCTTGATCCATCTATGACATATTAAACATTTATTTATCCTTGATCCATCTATGACACATTATACATTTATTTATCCTTGATCCATCCATGACACATTATACATTTATTTATCCTTGATCCATCCATGACACATTATACATTTATTTATCCTTGATCCATCCATGACACATTATACATTTATTCTTGATCCATCCATGACACATTAAACATTTATTTATCCTTGATCCATCCATGACACATTATACATTTATTTATCCTTGATCCATCTATGACACATTATACATTTATTTATCCTTGATCCATCCATGACACATTATACATTTATTTATCCTTGATCCATCTATGACATATGAGACATTTATTTATCCTTGATCCATCTATGACATATGAGACATTTATTTATCCTTGATCCATCTATGACACATTATACATTTATTTATCCTTGATCCACCCATGACACATTAAACATTTATTTATCCTTGATCCATCTATGACACATTATACATTTATTTATCCTTGATCCATCTATGACACATTATACATTTATTTATCCTTGATCCATCCATGACACATTAAACATTTATTTATCCTTGATCCATCTATGACACATTAAACATTTATTTATCCTTGATCCATCCATGACACATTAAACATTTATTTATCCTTGATCCATCTATGACATATTAAACATTTATTTATCCTTGATCCATCCATGACATATAAAACATATATTTATCCTTAGTCCATCCATGACATATTAAACATTTATTTATCCTTAATCTATCCATGACACCAATGAATGAACTACATCACTGCCCTCAGGACATTCCCCTATGTGCTTTGTTGCCTTCCTCAATAGCCAACCAAGAGTTCCTAAGTTGGTATTTCCAGCTGCACAACCATTACAAGTTCACCTGTCTTTCCCAGTGAAAAGACAATCATCCGGACGCTGAACTCACTGCCGGCTGAACAATTCTCTCCAGATATGGATTCTCTGTCTATGCTGCTGCCCTGTTCACTTGACCCAGAGAGCATTTGCCTTTCGCTTCATCATAAAGCAGTTCATCGCTCAGAGGGGCAGCAGCAGCCAGTCTATCAGACTGCTCATTAACATCCCCAACTGAATGTCCCGGGCTCAAAAATCTATGACATGCATCTTATGTGAGTCTCATCAAGGGATGCAAACCATTCTGAGCAAAAGATACCAGTTTTGATTTTCTACAGCATTCTCTGTGAGTCAGTAATCAGTTATAAGAACATGTCAGCATGTAACTGATCTGCAACACACACAAAAAAAAAAAGGTGAGTTGTCACTAGCTCTGGAAACAAACTCAATGATCTGAAAGTCCTTACCTTTAAAAGTGACTTCCTGCTCAAACATCCCGCTTGCCACACAGGGGCTCACCCTGTCCTGCACCAAAGTATCCCTGAATGTGTCGTTCACAGCTTGAAGAGAGTGCCCTAATGTACTCGCTAGAGAAAAGTTTCCCGGCTTCTGTGCCTGAAGTTTATCTGGGTTTCTGTCACGCACACAGACAAAGGAAGCCAGCGAGGTGTTGGCTGCAGTGTGTATGGTAGTCAGACAGTTTGGCTGTTTGGTCTGGGCAAGGATGCCCTCCCCGCTGAACCAGAAGTAGTCAAAGGTCAGGTCACTCTGCAGAAACAGGTCATGGACGGCTGCAGTCAGGATGAGCAGTGTCTTGGTAGAAAACATAGTCGGGTCTCGCTGGTAATTCAACCTCTGTGTGATTGTCAGCAGACCATTCAAGTCTTCTGAAATGCAATAGATGGTGAGACTATATGAATATATTCATACATAACTTATAACTGGACATCTATCTACATAAATATATGTACATATGTTGTCATTGGGCATTTGTCTGTGTATGGATATACATGTATATCTGTCTGTGTATAAATTATATACACATTGTTTTGTAATTAAGATCATGTATCATTTCTAGTGGCAACTTTGGGACTTTTACTTAATCATCGATGACAACAAAATCATAGCTTTTGAATTAAAATATGAAACAATTTTTAGAACACCACAGACCAAGACAAAGAACATCAACATCCTATACAATCTGTACATTGAGGAGAACTGAGTCGATAAACAACATCCTGGTGAGAGTGACATTCTGTAAAGAGCTTGCTGATTGATGATATTGACACATCTTTTTACTGACAACATTTACGTTGTCATCATGTGGACAACAACGTAATCTTCAGATCAAGTACACTTCTCTAGCATAGAACTCTAGCGCAGCTATACCAGACAGTGTTCACAGTTATTAGCCATAAATAACAGCAATACTGGCAACATACTCACGTGTCAATCTGAATTTGAGGGTCTGAAAAGCCACAATGGTAGTCTGGTCATCCACCTTGTAGGCTGCAACAGTCATCAGGTATTCTCCTGCTACCACATTCTGACTGGAGAATATGACGGAAATATTCGAGTCCAGGCCATTGTAGGTTTTCTGTTGGCGGCTGTCAGCTGTGTTAGTCCACTGGTACATGAACCTGGCATGGATGGACAGATGGGTGTGGGTCAAAGGTCAACTGGTACATGAACCTGGTACGGATGGACAGATTGGTGTGGAATTATCAACTGATACATGAACATGGCCAGACAGGTGTGGAATTAAGTCAAAGGTCAATGATACATGAACATGGACAGACAGATGTGGAATTAAGTCAAAGGTCAATGATACATGAACATGGACAGACAGGTGTGGAATTAAGTCAAAGGTCAACTGATACATGAACCTGGCATAGATGGACAGATGGGTGTGGAATTAAGTCAAATGTCAACTGATACATAAACATGGATGGACACAGGCCAAATGCCAAATTTGAGGCTCAGAAAAGTGTACCAAGGTAAAACTAACACTGTAGAAGCTTTATTTGACAAACATTATCTTGATACAGAATGTAAAATTTACAATCAGCTAATCCACAAACTTATCAAAGCTGTCACAAATATACAAGGTCTGACAATTAAGTAATGAGACTGATTTTATTATGGCCCAGAAAAAAAAATGCCATACATGAAGCAAAGCATGGAATCTAAAGAGGCAACATTCACCTATGATCTGGCAACTTTTCATCGCCGCTTGATAAGCAGACAACAAACAAGCCGCCATTTTGTTGACCTAGTCAGAGGTGTATTGTTACTTAATCAGCACAGAACAAAAAGCTAACATTAAATTCTTTGTAAAACTCAGAAAAAGCGCTATTGAAACAGTTGAGTTGATGCAACAAGTTTATGGGGATAATTGTTTATATTGTGCAAATTTTCAGGTGACTCAAAAGTGGTGTGGAAATGATTACTAATGCACCTAGACCCGGATGCCAAATTTATGTTCGAATTGATGAACTCATTGCAAAAGTCATAGAATGGATACAAGAAGATCATTGTTCTACTGTAAGGATGATGGCAGATGAATCTGGTGTTAATAGAGACCATTCATAACATTTTAGTGCAAGATTTTATCAAGAAAAAAGTTGCTTGCCGGTTTGTACCACATTCGTTGTCTGATGACCAAAAACATCAGTGGGTGGAGTACCCAAGAGACATAATTTAAGGGCCTTAACAACAGAAGAACTACAGAGGTCATTCCAGTGTTTGTTAGATCATGCCACTTGCTGTATCAATGCAAAGGAGCTTACTTTGAATCAACTGTTGATTATTTTAATTTTTATGGAATTAGTCTCATTACTTAATTGTCGGATCTTGTAGTATTTATGTCTGTTGTTCTTCGTTATGTAGATTTATAAAGATCTATGCTCATGAAACAAGTGACCACTTAACCACATACCAGTCACAACTTAACCACATACCAGCCACAACTTAACCACATACCAGCCACAACTTAACCACATACCAGCCACAACTTAACCACATACCAGCCACAACTTAACCACATACCAGCCACAAATCCCCTTGTTCAATTAATTATAATCATCTCCTTGTGAGATGCAATTTCTCTTTATCTTGAAGCCCCACTCTGGCTCTTGCCAGGGGCTGCAATATAGCCCGGCCATAAATATGGTCTAAATGGCTGAACGCGGTTTCTGGGACCTCCCCACGGGTGATCCTCATCGACATGGTGGCACTTTGTGTCATCGGATGTTTATCGCTTGTGTGATGTCCTAGTGGGACTACTACTAAATCCCCTTATTCACAGGACATAACTGACCAACCTGTCTGACACTGGGTGACAAATCCCCTTATTCACAGGACATAACTGACCAACCTGTCTGACACTGGGTGACAAATCCCCTTATTCACAGGACATAACTGACCAACCTGTCTGATACTGAGTGACAAATCGCCTTTTTTACAGGACATAACTGACCAACCTGTCTGATACTGGGTCGCTATCGTTCAGCTGAATCTCAGGGACCAACTGTGCCTGGAAGAACATGCTAGAATCCAAGGCAGCAAGGCCAGAACTGTTGACATTCATGTAGTAACCTGCTGACAGACACACAGGAGAACACACATCATGTACACAGTAGAGAACACACAAATATACACATCATGAACACAGCAGAGAACACACATATATCATGTACACAGCAGAGAAAACACAATTACATATATCGTGTACACAGCCAAAACACACAATTACACATATTGTGTACACAGCAGAGAACACACAATTACACATAGAGAACATACAATTACACACATCATGTACACAGCCAAAAACACACAATTACACAGTGTGTACACAGCAGAGAACATACAGTTACACAGCAGAGAACATACAATTACACACACTGTGCACACAGCCAAAAACACACAATTACACATATTGTGCACACAGCAGAGAACATACAATTACACAGCAGAGAACACACAATTACACACCCTGTGTACACAGCCAAAAACACACAATTACACACATCGTGTACACAGTAGAGAACACACAACTACACACATCATGTACACAGTAGAGAACACACAATTACACACATCATGTACACAGTAGAGAACACACAACTATAAACATCATGTACACAGTAGAGAACACACAACTATACACATCATGTACACAGTAGAGAACACACAACTACACACATCATGTACACACAGAGAAACACAAAACTACACACATCATGTACACAGTAG